AACAAAGTGCTGAGTGATCTGGCTATAAACAGGACGACTCGTATCTGCTCATGGAGTATATATTTATATATATTAAAAGGTAGGCCGAGACACGTTCTTCTAAGCCGGTTTTGGCTGATKTCCATCGTAAATACCATGAGAATTAAAATAAGCAAATAGATTGAAGTTGCTAGTTAAGTTACAGAGTCTAATTAGTCAAGTTTTAAAGGACGTTATCATCATTATTCCTTTGCAACGACTTTAACATTTGTTTTGTATAAGAGGTGGAAATTCCCCTCTGTGAAAACTCGTTTATTCCAACGTGTATACGAAGTGGGCATATATATTTGTACGGTAACCAGTAATGTTTACTTTAACCCTATGACGAAATAAAATGAAAATATAAACGATATATACTTTATCACGCTTTCAAGCTACGTGGCTAGCATGACTGGCTACATGTCGTGAAAACGCAGCTTAAGGAAAACTGCCAGCGAAATTATAAGACTCATGCAATTTTATCCGTACATTTTGGAACACACCTTTCATAATACATGTACTAGGATAAAGAAATGGTGTCCCTTTTAATTCAGTTTTGTTTTAGCTTTGAGTTTTCAATCAGTAAACAAAATGAATCCTTATATAAGCAGTTATTTCACAGAGCTACTTTCATAGATATTACATCAATAATTCCGCCTTTTTGATACGATTAGTCAAGGCTTTAATGCGATTGTGATTTTCATGTGACGGATGACCACAATTCAARGAAAATAAAGCCAGATCAAGGGGRAAAAATGAATAAAATAAAACAAATTCAATTCGAAATAGCTGGTCAGTGATGTTTCTGCATTACRATAGATTTCGAAACATTGGACCCAAACATCTATTGGCCTCACGTTTTTTGAGTTGAAGCGAAACARACATAAATTTGAATAAGAATGAAACACTTACATGAATGACATAAGTAAGTAATTCTGCTGACGTTTGCCCGGCTTTAAAACTTCACTAATACGCAGTTAGACCATTAAAATTAGTAGTTTAAATGGAAATGTCATCTTTAACAATCTTGATGCCATTTTGCTCCGTTTTTAATCTCATCTTAATAATAATGAATATTCATGTTTTGCGTACACGATTAGAAACGAGTTACGTTGAAGCCATGTAAAATTAACAAAAGCTGTAGTTAAGCGGCTGTACTTGCATAAACGGATAGCGAAAATATAAACATATTTGTACGAAAACTGCAAATAAAATATAGATTCTAGTTTAGAAACTCTTACCTTGGAATGTGATAAATATGCAAARTAGTGCAATGAACAAATRACCTTGTGCTCTTGCGATCTCCATGCTGGAGGAATTTTCATAAAATCTGAGGTCAATTGAAAAACAACATGTATACATTGATGGAAGACGCATCTGATTGGTTAATATTTGACAAACAATAGGCTAATACTTCCACGCCCATGTTACAACACTCATTCACATATTCATGAATAATTCATGAGGTAATTAGCCAACCAAATAGTCTGAATTCGCTCACATGATGAATTTTGAAACTAGGTAAAGTGTCTTAAAGCCGGGGAGGGTTTTGAAATCAGCAGGGAAGAGTTGGGGGTGAAAGAAATTAATTCAGTCCAAGTACATTGGAACAAAATTAATTCAGTCCAAGTACATTGGAACAAAATTAATTCAGTCCAAGTACATTGGAACAAAATTAATTTAGTCCAAGGGATGGATCAGCTTTCCTGCGCTAGTTTCAATATCCTACACATTGCTTAGAATATAAATCAATAAATATAAAGAGAACAGCAATTTCAATTTATCAAGCATTTATTACACTGGAATCCTACGACGTACTTAAATATTACAACTGTGAAATTTTGTAACTTGGACATTGACAATAAGTATTGCTATCAAATGCGTTGATTTCCATTTACGGTTAGCGGTCTAAATTTTGAATTGGTTGATTGTAACATTGCAGTTACCGGTGATATTAATTGACTTTTCGAAAGCGTTTCAAAGGTTGAAATTCATCTTCATCACTATCTCTCTTACGCGAAGACATCTTCAAATGAACAGAGGTTCGACACAAAGTAACTTGAAATGTGACTTTTGTGACTATAGCACATCATTAGCAAAACAAAGCAACAAAACCAGCTGCATTACGAAATCTACACTAAAAGAAATGTATTAAAATTCTTTGTGCTCAGATTTTTTTATTTCAGCAATTCCCAAAGGTCATGAAACAAATCACTGCTTGATTACTGCACATAATCAAATCCAAATGCATTAATAATAATTAATGAAAATAATGCTTTCGATGATTATTTTATTTTCT